CTCAGCAGCCAGCAGCTGAGTGAAGAGAAGCCTCCAGCTCCAGTGGACCAGGAGCAGGAGGCAGAGCTGAAGCCCAAGGCTGAGGGGCTTTCACCCAGCTCCTTGAGCCCGGCACTTTGAACTTGGATTTAAAGCCTCCACACTGTAAGAGAATAAACTCCTGTTTGTTAAAGCTATCTCATTTGTGGTATCTTTTGTTAGAGTGGCACCAGGAAACCAGAACAATATCAAAAAGGAATAGTTTCACCAAGTGGGTGCAAGACTAAAAACTACAAAACATTGTTGGAAGAAATTTAAAAAGACTCAAATAAGTGGAAAAATATCCTGTGTTCATGAGCTTGACAACTTAATCTTAAAATGGCCATACTCTTCAAAGTGATGTACACATTCAGTGTGATCCCTGTCAAAATCCCAACAACCCTTTTCGCAGTGTTGAAAAGGCTGATCCTAACATGGAAGTTCAAGAGACCCCAAAATATTCTTGAAAATGGAGAAAAACAAATGGGTAAGAAGCATGTGAAAAGCTGTTCAATGTCATTCCCACTACCCTTGAGTGGATTACAACTCTTATAAGACCCCATGGGATTTCCAAGGCTGTAAATATTTATGGAAGCAGACTGCCTCATCTTTCTTCCAAAGAGCACCTGGTGGATCCGAACCATTGATCTTTCGGTTAGCAGCCGAATGAATGCCTTAACCACTGGAACACCAGGAGTCCTTTCAATGTCACTAAGAAAATGAAAATCAAGCACAGTGAGATACCACCTCATACCCACTAGGCTGGGAAAGCAAATAACTGAAAATATTGGGTTGGTAAGGATATGAAGAAATTAGAACCCTCATGCATTGCTGGTGGGGATGGAAAATGGTGCAACTACTTTAGAAAATAGTTAAGCAATATTTAAAAAAAATTGTTGTGATTTGGGTGAAAGTTTACAGAGAAAATTCATTTTCCATACAGCAGTTCACAGATACTTTGTCTCTCATGACTTGGACTGCAATCTCCCACAATGTAATAGCTCTCCTCCCACTTCCTCCCCATAGCCACCTCTTCCCTGTGTCCTTCCCTCCCATGCACTCCTGCCCTCCAAGCTGTCTTCCTGCGCATACACAGCCCTTCCATTCACCACGATTGGTCTCTCCAAGGAGTCTATATACCTAATGTAAATGTTCAGCTCATATGCCTGTCTTTTGTGTGGCTGGAAGCCACAGGAGTGGGTTCAATTCCTGAAGGGCAGCTAAGGGGCCATAGTCTCAGGGGTTTCACCAGGCTCTATGAGACCAGTAAACCTGGTCCTTTGTGTGTGTGTGTGTGTGTGTGTGTGTGAGTTTTGCTCCACAGTGTTCTCCCACTCTATCCAGGATCTCTAGGAACCCCCTCCAAGTGGTTGACAGTGGTAGCCAGGCCCATCTACTTCTTCTGGTCTCATAGTCGTATAGGAGTTCAGCAATTCTTAACAAGTTAAACATGGAATTACCACCTGACCAGTAATTCCATTCCTAGTATATACCTGAAGGAACTGAACACAGGGATTCAAGCAAACACTTGTATACCAGTGTTCATAGCAGTACTATTCCCATTAGCCAAAAGATGGAAACAACCCAAATGTCGGTCAACTGATGAGTGGATTAAAACAAAAAAAGTGGTATATTCATAAAATGGAATATTGTTGTTGTTAGATGCCTTCACGTCACTCCGACTCACAGAGACCCCATGCACAGCAGAACGACACAGGTCCTGTACCACCCTCACAATCATTGCTGTCTGTGCTTCAGCCCATTGTTGCGGCCACTGTGTCAACCCATCTCACCGAGTGTCTGCTCCAGTAACTGGGCTTCCTGGTAACATGACCAAAGTACGAGAGACAGTCTGGCCATTGTCGCTTCTCAGGAGCATTCCAGCCGTCCTACTTCCAAGACAGATTTGTTTGTTCTTCTGGCCATTCATGGTACATTCAATATTCTTTGCCAATACCACAATTGGAATATTATTTGGCCATTAAAAAAAGAAATGAAGTACTGATACGTAGGCGATACACACTACCACATGGATGAACCTTGAAAACATTGTGTTGCGTGAAAGAACCCTGATGCTAAAGACCACCTGTTGTGTGACTCCATTTACATGAAATGCCCTGAATAGGTAAAGCTATAGCGACAGATTTCAGGGTTGCCCCGGCTGAGGATGAGGAAGTGGATGCTTAATGGACATGGGCTTTCTCTGTGTCATGACAAATGTTCTGAAACTAGATAGTAGTGAGGGTGGCACAACTTTGTGAATAACTAAATGCTGCTGAACTTTACACTTAAAAAAAAAAAAAACTGTGGTAGTTAAGGTTCTGTGTCAACTTGGCTGGGCCTGGTTGAGTGGCTGGGCAGCTGGACATAGTGATTCCTCATGATGAGACTTGTCATCAACTCCATGGTGGAATCTACTAGAGTAGCTGCCTGAGGGATGTGGGCTGCATACTGTATTTAAGGAGCACCTTTGGGAACGGTCTGAGCTTTTTTGGCATGCTTGAATCCTCCACATAGCCAAGCAGTCATTCAGCAGCTAGCCATGTCTGGGGACTTAATGGACTTGGATGAGTGGCCTGCTATGTAGTTCGATAATTTTGGGACTGTGCCATTTCACTTGTCAGCTTTGGGTCTATCAGCCTCAGCACCCAGCAGCTGCCTGAGTTAGGAGAAGCCTCCAGCTTCAGTGGGCCGGGAGCGAGAGGCAGAGCCAAAGCCCAAGATCGAGGGGCTTTCACCCAGCCCCTAAAGTTTGGCATGTTGAACTTGGACTTTTAGCCTCCTAAGTATAAGAGTAAACCCCTGGTTGTTTAAAACCACACATTTTGGGGTATTTCTGTTGAGGAGCACTAAGTACCCCAAACAAACACATAAACTTGGGGGACACAGTTCAATTGATTACAGGACCCTAAGGTAATCTCTGATGTTGACAATAATGTATCAGTATTGGTTGAGCAATTGTAGCAGACTTAGCCTGCTAATACAAGATGCTGTAATAGGGGAACTGAAGAGGTGGAGGATGTAGTTGTATGTGGGAATTCTGTGTTTTCCCCTCCTTTCCCTGCTGCTCTAAAAAGATGATCTATTTTTAAAACACAAACTGAATAAGCAAAATCAGATATGCTGAAATATATAACACAGTCTTCTCTGTAATTGGGATATGTAAATGAAAAACCCAACAATGTCTCTTCCTGAACTGTATACTTTTAAGTGGTTAAAATGGTAAATTTTAAGTTATTAGCATTTTGCCATTTTTTAAAAAAATTAAAGTGATTGGGTTAGGCAAAATTTCTGAGCTAGAATTCAAGAAGCAACACCATAAAAGAGATTGCTGAGTTGGACAGCATAAGGAGATTCCCACTTGCAGGGAGGACTGTTTGGGGAAATGTATTGCCTGATATTTGAGCGTTCAGGTTTTTTGAGCAACTGCTCTGTCGACGCTGGTCTGGGTGTGATGGGAGATGCCAAGGGGGCAACAGCACCCACTCAACTTGCCACTCATTATATGCCAGCACCTAAAAAAAAAAAAAAAAAGTCACTGCCATCAAGTTGATTTCATCTCATAGTGACCTCCATTGGGTTTCCAAGGCTGTCGGTCCTGATGTAAGCAAAGCCCAAACCACACCCACTGCCGTGGAGTCGACACCAGCCCACAGTGCCCCTAGAGGACAGAGTGGAACTGCCCCACAGGGTCTCCCAGGCTGTCAATCTTCACGGAAGTAAAGTTCCAACCACACCCACTGCCGAGGAGTCTATTCTGACCCACAGCGCCCCTAGAGGACAGAGTGGAACTGCACCACAGG